AGTAAACAACTTAATTTGCATGCAGATTTTATGGTAAAATGAATAGGTTTCAGTGGTGTAGCTAGGGGGATAGGGGGGACAAGCAAACTTATTTTAATAGGAATATTGATAGTACATCATTTTTATAGTTTTTTTATTTTTAGTGAAAAAATAAATATAATTACGTACGTGTAGGTAAAGATTAAAAATGTGTTACTCTGGAGCCAGTTGGCCAGAATTTGAATTAATTTGGTTTTTACAAAATCGTGAAAAAATAAAAATTTTGTGATGTTTTCCACAAACACGAAATCAAATTTGTAGCTACAAAAGAACACAGAATAACCTTCACCAACATTTACATATTTTTTTCTATCACTAAGAGTGAAAAATTACCTTTAAAAATGCTCTAGTAACAAAAATTCATTTGGTATATATTCGATTCCCTCCATTTCCTTCTAGGCCTTCATCTCTTTTCTTTCCTTCTGGTGTTGTCCAAGCTACTCTTTTTACTGTCCTTGAGCCCTCCATCCTTTCTAAGTGCCCCAACCATTTTGACTGTATTATTTCGTATATGTTGGGTTCGTTAAATATTTCGTAAATTCCTTTGTTTGTTCGTCTTTCCCATCCTGCTTCTGTCTTTTTGCCCCCATATATTCTTCTTAGTATCTTCCGTTCCTATATTTCAATTTTGGTTTGTTCTTTCTTATTTAGTGTCCATGTCTCACTACCGTATAGCATTATAGGTCTGATTATTGTTTTGTACATACATTTCTTTATTTCCCATGACAATTCTTTAGATTTAAGTAAATTATGTAAAGCTCCTGCGCATCTATTGCTCTTTGCTAGACGAAGATCTATTTTAGCTTGTTCTTCGCATCTATTTGTAATGAGAACACCGAGGTACATGTTACTGTCTGTTTCGTCTATTGTTATTTTTCCTATGGTTTTAGTTTGTAATTCTAGCTTTCCAGGATTTTTTCTTAAATGTTTGTTTTTCAGTTGCATGTACTGACTCTTTTTTCATTTATGTTTAGCCCCATTGTTCCTGCCGCGTTCCTGTTCTGTTATGTTCTTTTTGGCTTCTCGCTAACAGTACAACATCATCTGCGTATGCTAATGCTTGGTGGGATCTGTTGATCAGGGTTTCATATCTGTTTATTTCACTGTTTCTGATGACTATTTCAAGGATTAAGTTAAAAAGAAGGGTGGATAATGGATCTCCCTGCCTAAGCCCGTTTTGGACTTAAAATTCTTCGGCTTCCTCACCTCCTCTCTTTAATCAGATAATCTTCAGTTGTTCTATATCACATTCTTAATTGAACGATATCATAAAAAGTATGCAAAAAAATATAAAAATGTATTCTTGATTGTTTTTAGGCAAAAGTATAAAGATTTTAATGATTTTAAAATCATAATTTTTTATTAGTAATAGGTGAGATAAATAAAACCTAAGATCATGTCACAATTTGTCTGGCCACCTGTAATTTTCACGGCATTTTTCACGTCCTACCTAATTAATTCTTATATGCGAAAAACAATCCTCTATTCAGCTGGGTGACTATCGTTTATAAAATTAGTAATATAATGTGCAATGGACCAATTTTTATGGCAATCCGTTCCCGTCTGAACCAGGATTGTCCTGTAGAATCTTTTTGGAAAAATATCACACATAACGCAAACATCAAAATTACAATTTTACGTGTTTTCCTTACTTAAATATATTTGCTTTATAAAAGAAAATGGTTTTTTACACCACCATGTATATTAGCTTATCTACGCACAAAATATAATACGAAAAAAATCTATTACGTTCAACTGAACGAATATATTTTATATCCATTCTAGGTAGTGAGAAAACTGCAAAAAAAATAAATCCACCAATCACAGTTCATATTTTGGACATCCAACTACAATTGTTTTTAAAATTTTAAATAAGTGACAATTCTGTGAAACTAATTGTCAGTATATTTTTTAGTTATTGAGATTAAAGATACATTTAAATGAGCTACTTTTGTGTAAAATTGATAAATAATAACATTGTTATTTTTTTTGTCTATTGTTATTTTTATTCGGTCCACATTTTGAAAAAAAAAAAAATAGTATTCAAACTATATGAATCTAATTTAATTACGAGTATTAAAACTAAAATTGTGAAATCGGCCGTGGAGCTGAGGACAGGGCTTCTGCTTTTCTGACGAAAAGTTCGAGATCGAATCCTGGCTGGGGGACTAATTAAATTAATTTTGTTTTCATGTTTATTTTATTTTATAAATTATTAAAATTTATAAATTACTTTAAAATTAGTTATTATGTCTTATACAAAAATATTTTTTAAAATTTTTAGATTTCCGTCAGTGGGTAGTAGAAAAAGTATGCTGTACTCGAGTGGATCGTCCATATCCACTCTTGTTGCAAAAACTACTATTGTTTTATTCCGACTTACTAAAAAATTTATGAATTAATGAACGATTATTAATAAATTATTGAAACAACCAAGACTTAAAATTTTCACATTTTTTTATTTACCTTTTCAAAGTTTAATGAATGCCTAGTTAAACAGTTTCTTTGGAAGTATCAAACCGAGATTAAATTTATATAATTTTGTGTGATTTACGATAATATAGTTTGAACATTTAAAAATGGGTTATGCCTAACAAGGTAATAAGAAAAACTTGATCTTTTGATTGTAAATATAGAGAGAATTTTAACTTTTTTTATTATATATAGTTTATTTTCCTTTTAGAATATCTCACTTATCCACAGCTATACCATTCAAAAATGTCTTTTGAATATTCAAGAAGAAAGTTTACCACACAAAAATAATTATATAATATTGGATACTTAATTAGACAATAAATATTTATGTTCACAAACACACTTAAAAAATTAAATTACAATAAAAACAAAAAAATAATCGGCACGCGCCACTGGAAATTTGCAAATACTGAAACTGGCACGGTTCCGTCACAAATAAGTTTCCGTTAGGGAGCTGCTCCAATCAGGGCCACATTTTTAAAAAATACTGGAAAAAAGTAGATATTTTAATTTTTGGGAATATTAAGGTACCTTCATTATCTGTCGACTCTTAAAGTTAGATTTACAAAAAAATTAAACCTTTTTATTTTTATTCTGAATATTAGCTTGAAAGTAAAATTTTAAATGAAACAGTATTTATAGTGATTTATTTAAAACGTGTTTTCAAAATTTATTTTAAATTACTTGAGAATTAAAGATACAGGGTTAATTCAAAAGGTACTGCTGGGTGTATATTATTCCTTACTCTAATTTACCTTTAATTTAACTCTAATTTAATGCTTATTAATCTTTTATTAAACTTTAACTTAACTCTTATTTAACTGTGATTTAACCCCAATTTAATTCTAATTCAGTTTTAATTTAACTCTAATTTAATGTAAATTTGATTCCAATGTTACTTTAATTAAATTTTAATTTAACTATAATTTAACTCTAATTTAACTATAACTTTTTTCTATTTTATCTATAATTTAACTCTAATTTAACTATAATTTAACTATAATTTAACTATAATTTAACTATAATTTAACTATAATTTAACTATAATTTAACTATAATTTAACTATAATTTAACTATAATTTAACTATAATTTAACTATAATTTAACTATAATTTAACTATAATTTAACTATAATTTAACTATAATTTAACTATAATTTAACTATAATTTAACTATAATTTAACTATAATTTAACTATAATTTAACTATAATTTAACTCTAATTTAACTATAATTCAACTCTATTTTAATTCTAATTTAAATTTAATTTAGCTCCAATTTAATTTTAATTTAACTTTATTATAACTTTACTTTAACTCCAATATAACTATAATGTATTTATAATTTAACACCAATTTAACTATAATTTAAATATAATTTAACTATAATTTAACTATAATTTAACTATAATTTAACTATAATTTAACTATAATTTAACTATAATTTAACTATAATTTAACTATAATTTAACTATAATTTAACTATAATTTAACTATAATTTAACTATAATTTAACTATAATTTAACTATAATTTAACTATAATTTAACTATAATTTAACTATAATTTAACTATAATTTAACTATAATTTAACTATAATTTAACTATAATTTAACTATAATTTAACTATAATTTAACTATAATTTAACTATAATTTAACTATAATTTAACTATAATTTAACTATAATTTAACTATAATTTAACTATAATTTAACTATAATTTAACTATAATTTAACTATAATTTAACTATAATTTAACTATAATTTAACTATAATTTAACTATAATTTAACTATAATTTAACTATAATTTAACTATAATTTAACTCTAATTTAACTCTAATTTAACTCTAATTTAACTCTAATTTAACTCTAATTTAACTCTAATTTAACTCTAATTTAACTCTAATTTAACTCTAATTTAACTCTAATTTAACTCTAATTTAACTCTAATTTAACTCTAATTTAACTCTAATTTAACTCTAATTTAACTCTAATTTAACTCTAATTTAACTCTAATTTAACTCTAATTTAACTCTAATTTAACTCCAATTTAACTCTAATTTAACTCTAATTTAACTCTAATTTAACTCTAATTTAACTCTAATTTAACTCTACTTTAATGTTAATTTAACTAAACTCTAATTTAATAAAAATTCGAGTTGAATAATTGTCCATCAAAAAGTCACTGCTAATTCTACATCAAGCTATGTAAGAAGATCAAATGTTCATTCATCTTGATCTCTCTAAGATATTTTATTCTATTTTTACCTGTATTCTGTTTTTAAACCATTACATTATGATTCTCAATATCTCAATTGAAAAAGAAAAAGACAACTCAAAATAACATTGAATTCAGTCAAAATCATATTTTAATATAATAAATAAATCTTATTAATATCTTTTTAAAGTAGAATTCCAAAAGAGCTGCTATTTGATATTTCAACACCTGCAAGGTGTCATAATGGGTTGTAATCTACCTGTCCTTACCACTTGAATGGCAAGGGTCCCGTTTGGGAACAGCCCTTGAATAATAGATGACACGCGTTTGTAGTCGGTCATGTCATATAGGCTAAATGTTAAGGGTCCCATTTGGGAACATGAGCTAATTCTTCGCGGCACGTGGCAAACAAACTGGTTTCTATTCTTTAGCGGGCAGGTAGTGACCTGCTTATCCGATTATTGTGTTTAGTATGGTAAATGATGTTTTGAAAAGGCAATATTTCAGTTTTTTCTAGCGTCCTTTTTACTGTATTCGTGTTTGGATTATGAATCCTTCTTACAAGTGTTTATATAAAAAATATTTTGTATATATAGTATATTATGCAACGATCATTTTATGATAGCCATTACATGAGAGTTGCATACACTATTTTTTCTACGACCATGAAACTATTTCAATTCAACAAAATTGCTTTATTTTTTAATTTTCTAATACTTTTTTATACAAACTAGAAATAAAATATGTAAGAAAAATAAGTTATTCGACTTAATTTTTATTCCTACACAATAACCAATATACTAACTATGATCTTAATTTAACTATTAACAATAAACATTAACAAATTCATTAAATCACGCTTTAATCAATTTTGTTTAAATACAAATTTTGAATAGTATTAAAAAGTACTTGAGGTGTACCATCTTCAGTCATGAACGAATTTGTACTACTAGATGAAGAGGGCAAATTAATATGAATTTCATTATTTACATTATCAATTGAATGGAGAAATTAATTTTCAATTTCATAATGAAAACCAGTGTTAAAATGAGTATCAATATAAAACTGAAAATTAGCATTTAATTAACAACTAATAGTATAGGAGTAGCAAAAATATATTATGTCATTTATTATTAGTAAGGCAAGATCTCAAAGAAAAATAATAAAATTAACATAAGGGAAGGAAATAAGCAGAAGCTTGAAAAGACATCTAATACATAAATGCATTGTTTACATTTATCTAGAGATTTGCATATTCTTTTTAATAATGCAGCAATTGCATTTTCTATGAAAAGATTCTTTCTAAAACCATATTGTTTTGGAGTTTATATTTATTCAAATATGAGATGAATCAAATATTTATTAGCTTTTCAAAAAGTTTGGAGATATGAGTTATCAAAGATATTGATCGATAGTAAGGGAAGAACCCAGCCAGTGTCGGCTCGTGGTAATTTAAAATGAGTGTTCTTTTTTCCAATAATTTTATCATAAGGTCAGATCAAAACTTTGTACAAGAGTCAATATCGCTGTTTTTTTCTTTTATTTGAGTTTGTAGTAAGTGTAGTTACTATTATCAACATCATACTGTTTTCAAGCACTACACCTATTAATAAATGAATATTTTAGTTAGTGTAATATTTGTTTTGTTTTTAATACGTTGAAAACCATCTATAAACATTATTAGTAAGTAAACTGACTTGTCTTCATAATTTGAGATTATTTTTAAATATATATATCAGGTTATGTAAAAAGCTTGACGTTGGACAGACAGACAAAGTAAACCTATAATACTCTTCACAGAATACTGTATGAAGAGTAGAAAAAAAAAGTATAAGGTAAAATAAACAATTTAAAAAGGCCAACAATAATATTTAACTTCTTTAATCAAAGGATACTAACAGTTTCAAATAGCAGCACATAATTGAACATTAACAGAAATCTGTGAACTAAACTAGTGAGGTATACATCGTAAAATGTTATCACACTTAACTCACCATATGACCCTTTCTAAGGGTATTTCACAACACACTCCAAAGTATTCTTGCTCTCGCTCTGTCCTACCCTCATGGCAGACTTTTGCATGTCCATCTTCACTAAAAAATTATGTGTTTTAATAAATAACAGAATAATAGTATTTTGTCTAAATAGGTAAATCGGCTTCATCTGTATTTTCAAATTATTGTTTAATTTTAGATAGTATATTATTATTTTGATATGTTTAATTAGGATTTTGATAGGATTAATTAGCCAGAGTATTTATTTATTTATTTATTTATCAGAAACATACAGGTTGCCCTAATTACATGTTCCTGTAACAAAAGTTATTTTATAATGACGTAACAATTTTCATATAATACTATTACAATAATAATATAATGTGTTAAGATCTAGTTTAATATAGGAGACTAGTACAAAGACAGAGATATTTTGTATATTTAGGTAATACGTACATTGGATGTGATATATTTTTTAAACAAGGACATTTTTATTCCAAATAATCCAGGAGAGAGATCTGTGATGTATGTGTTGTGTAACTGGCATATTCGATTTAAAGTGTTGTTGTTGGTTTCAGTGAAAAATAGTTGAGCCCTGGGACGAGTTCTGTGATCAGCCACATAAAAGTTGATTTTACTTAATAGATTAGGAGAATCAATCAGATGGTTACATAATTTATATAGAAGTATCAAACTGCGATGGAGTCTTCTATTCTCCAGTTTTATAATTTTGAACTCTGATCTTATTGGTTGGTAAGACATATGACCGGGAGAGGTTTTGTACCTCTCGTAATATAAATATTTCAAAAATTTATTTTGAATCGTTTCAATTCGGCAAGTTAGAGTTTTATTTATTATATTATTCCAGATTACGCTACCAAATTCTAGTTTACTTCTTACAAGAGAGCAAAATAAATAGTTAATGGAATCAATATTATTAAATTCTGATGTTGTACGTTTTACAAATCCTACTGATTTATTTGCCAAAGAGACGATTTTTTGGACATGTGAAATAAAGTTAAGAGTACTAGAGAATGTAATACCCAAGTCCTCTACCTCGTTTACCCTTTTTAAATTTAAGTTTCCCATCGTGTAGATAAAGTGAGTAGGTTGAGTTTGGTGAGTTTGTACATATGTGAGATGTAACTTGTCAAGTGCCTAATCAAAATCACAATTTATGTTTAATACTTATTGCTTTTTTTTTGAGACATACTTTATTACCAACTGTAAACTAATTTACCAACAGCCTTATTTTTATTTAATACCTGCAGTGATCCAAATTACCATAACATCTAATATTTTTAAAAATACTAAATTATACAAACAAGGCAATAAAAAAATGTTATTAAAATAAAAGATTTTTGATTTGTATGCAACAAACGATCTAGGTTAGAGGATAACACGATTAATAATTACAGGCAAACATAACTTTATATAGGTAAACTATTTAAATGTATATATTATTTCTTAGGTTAAATATCTCATCAAGTTTATTAAATTAACTGGTTGATCCATTTTTCCGATTCAGACTTTTAAAGTGAAAAAACATTTGTCTCTTTATCTTCATCAAATTTTTATTCTACATTTCCATATCCATAATGATGTCAAGTAGTTACCTTATCAGAATAATCAAGTTTTTCCTTTTAGCGGGTTTTGTGGGAAAAAAAACACAAATTTTTTGCTTACTTCTTACTTCGTAGTATTTGCAATTGGGTACAAAATAGACCATTTTGAAGTAGTCTTTGGATGGTCTTAGACACTGAAACAAAATATAAAACAAATTACAGTCGTTAAACTTTATTAAATGTAAATAAAACCTTAAGGTACCATTTGGGAGGCGCATCAGGAGACAAGCGACCACTGAAACGACCCCAAGGTCGAGTAGGACGACAGATGCATAAATGTTACGCTTCGTACATTTCGCAAGCTTTAAGAAGTGTCGCGCGACACTTGCAAATAACCATTCGAGGGAACGGTCAGCGTTGCTAGCGTTACTGTTTTTACTTAGATCCAGTGTTTTTGTCTCTAGTAACTTTTGTTCTTAATTTATTAAGTTTGCCTCATTCTTCAGCAAATGGTTAAAGAATATTTTTTCTAGTAAATTTTATGCAGTAAAAGTAGCGAAATAAGCAGCCACTATTGTAGGTTGGCTCCATAAAAAAAAATATCAAGATAGTCATTATGCTTATTTAAAATAATAATAATAATAATACTCTCCCTAATTCACCCCCTTACGAGTGAATTTTAACCCCAAAAGCTGAGCATGTGGGGGGAAAGGAACGGCTATTGAAACAAATGAAACAAATAATTAATAGGGCATCACAAAAAGAACATGCATATGCCAAACACTACGATTTTGAATTATCTAATTCAGACTAATCTAAAAGAAGTAGGTACTTATTATTTTTCATTGGTTTTTTCCCATACGTTAAGTAAATAATAAAAATATTTTTATTTGTTTTTATTCTTTGTTTACTTTCTAATTTGGGTAGAAAAAAGTTTATTTTTCGTTTCTTATATACTTGTTTTTTTATTTACTACACTGCAAATTATAATTATTTCCCCCTGTATTAAAATCTACTGTTCTTTTTTTTTCACTCATACTGTTCCAAAATTTGGCAACGCCCTCCTGGATCGAAAGAAATTTCCATCCTAATCACCCTCAAAATGAACCGATGCTCGAGAACAGTGACCCCGAGTGCGACACGCAGCAAATCTTTGCCCCGAGGCAGATTCAGAAGTGTCTCCAGGAAGTGTCGTCTTGACGACACTTCTTGTGTCGCGCCGTGCGAAATGTGTTTCATATAATTGAATGTATTTTAGATGTGAAGCAACACTTCTCGGTCGCGTCGGCGGTCGTATGTCGCGTCGGCGGTCGTCTGTCGTGCCTACCGAAATGGTACCTTTAAAGGAGTTTTTCGGGAACAATCGTTAAATTGACAAACATCCTTCCAATTTATTAAAGTTGCAGTTCTCAATAAAACACATTTTTTTAAATGATCATAAATAAACTAATCTTAATTTTGTTAAAAGCGTTTTATAGTAGAGGAATGACGGAAGATGGAATGACAGTTTGTTTGATTTGGTACAGTGTTGCCAGAATATGTTTTTGTTATGTATTAGATTTGTTTAAAAAATGTACCAGATTCCTTAAATGTATGAGATTTTTCGAATTCTATTTGCAGTGACATCCAATTCATTGAAAGGGAAAAAAGGGGGTCTTTATTAATAATGAACCCAAACATGGAACATAATAAATATTTTACACGTGAACATTGATGTACGCAGAAAGTACTACATCTAATACAATTGTGAATTGTACTAGACGGACAACACTGGTTTGGCAACCTTGTTTGTGAGCAGTGCGCCAAATAAGT